TTTGTCGCTCGGAAAAACATAATTTAGTAAGTTACTATAAGTGATTTATTTCGTTGATAATTTTGACAAACCCTAACAAGGGTATGTGCAAAACGACATGTGGTGTCGATCATGGAATGTCACTCACATATTGGGTTGCAAGTATTGAAATCCGAATTAGGAATCGATGAGTATTCAATGGTGGTTTGAACCTGAACGTTGCTGGTTAGGTTTACAAGTGTTGCAATCTGGTTCAGTTGGGTATACAAAATACAATTCTCGGTCAAAACGAAATACACAAATCTGTATTTGGCGGTGGTTTAAACCTGGATGCGGCTGGTTAGGGTTACGAGCGTCGAAGTGGGATTTTGGTTAGGGTTAGAGAATACGGTTTTCGGTCAAAATGAAATGCATGAATCTGTATTACGTGGTGGTTTAAACCTGGCCGTTGGCGGTTAGGGTTACGAACGTTGCCATCTGGTTCGGTTAGGTGTACAAAATAGAATTTTCGGCAGAAATGAAATACATAAATCTGTATTTGGTGGTGGTTTGTACCTGACTGTTGGCGGTTAGGGTTACGAACGTTGCCATCTGGTTCGGTTAGGTGTGCAAAATAGAATTTTCGGCAGAAATGAAATACATAAATCTGTATTTGGTGGTGGTTTGTACCTGGCTGTTGGCGGTTAGGGTTACGAGCGTTGCCATCTGGTTCGGTTAGGTGTGCAAAATAGAATTTTCGGCAGAAATGAAATACATAAATCTGTATTTGGTGGTGGTTTGTACCTGGCTGTTGGCAGTTAGGGTTACGAGCGTCGAAGTGGGATTCGCCCAATGCGGTAACCCGGAGTTCAGAATCCGAAATTCGTGTATTTCATCGAAGAATAAGATAGGGAAACACGGCATGATTGAGTTTTGAACGCCGTCATGATTGTAGGATAGAGAAGGCACGCTCGGTACGGTGCAGTTGTCGATTGTTGTGAGTGTCGGTGCCGGGAGTGAACCAGGATGGGTCGCCAAGACTCACAGTGAGTTACCCTACTCAACAGCCCCCAACCACCACCTCCGCCCCCGCAATCACAACCACGACCCCCTGTACGCGTATATCTGATGATGGGAATGGACTCGGGTCGTCCTGTTCAACCCATAGCCATGGAGCCCGGAATTGTGGGGCGACGGTTCCCAGGCAACCTCAAAATCCTGTCCGACATTGGCCTACTAGATGTGGTGTCGATCATGGAATGTCACTCACATATTGGGTTGCAAGTATTGAAATCCGAATTAGGAATCGATGAGTATTCAATGGTGGTTTGAACCTGAACGTTGCTGGTTAGGTTTACAAGTGTTGCAATCTGGTTCAGTTGGGTATACAAAATACAATTCTCGGTCAAAACGAAATACACAAATCTGTATTTGGCGGTGGTTTAAACCTGGATGCGGCTGGTTAGGGTTACGAGCGTCGAAGTGGGATTTTGGTTAGGGTTAGAGAATACGGTTTTCGGTCAAAATGAAATGCATGAATCTGTATTACGTGGTGGTTTAAACCTGGCCGTTGGCGGTTAGGGTTACGAACGTTGCCATCTGGTTCGGTTAGGTGTACAAAATAGAATTTTCGGCAGAAATGAAATACATAAATCTGTATTTGGTGGTGGTTTGTACCTGACTGTTGGCGGTTAGGGTTACGAACGTTGCCATCTGGTTCGGTTAGGTGTGCAAAATAGAATTTTCGGCAGAAATGAAATACATAAATCTGTATTTGGTGGTGGTTTGTACCTGGCTGTTGGCGGTTAGGGTTACGAGCGTTGCCATCTGGTTCGGTTAGGTGTGCAAAATAGAATTTTCGGCAGAAATGAAATACATAAATCTGTATTTGGTGGTAGTTTGTACCTGGCTGTTGGCAGTTAGGGTTACGAGCGTCGAAGTGGGATTCGCCCAATGCGGTAACCCGGAGTTCAGAATCTGAAATTCGTGTATTTCATCGAAGAATAAGATAGGGAAACACGGCATGATTGAGTTTTGAACGCCGTCATGATTGTAGGATAGAGAAGGCACGCTCGGTACGGTGCAGTTGTCGATTGTTGTGAGTGTCGGTGCCGGGAGTGAACCAGGATGGGTCGCCAAGACTCACAGTGAGTTACCCTACTCAACAGCCCCCAACCACCACCTCCGCCCCCGCAATCACAACCACGACCCCCTGTACGCGTATATCTGATGATGGGAATGGACTCGGGTCGTCCTGTTCAACCCATAGCCATGGAGCCCGGAATTGTGGGGCGACGGTTCCCAGGCAACCTCAAAATCCTGTCCGACATTGGCCTACTAGAGTGGTGGCAGTTGAAGTCTCCCATTACTAGACAGTTATCAAGGGTTTGGATTGTACTTGCTATTTAGGCGAAGGGGCCACTTCGGCCTGGGGAGTATATGTTTATGATTTGGGTTTTCTTGGTTTGGATTTCTACCGTAATCGATACTATGAAGTTATCATGTGTATAGTGGTGTTTTGGTTTCAGGTTGGCATGTTTGCGGACATATGTTGCGCATTTCGTATTGGTATTGCTGGCTGTAAAAAGGTAAAAGAGATTTGATTCTGGTGGATATCCCTCTGTTGAGGTCCATGGTTCTTGTAATAATAGGAAATAAATACTAGAGTCTGTTTCCGCTTCTTCTACCGCCGCCTTGGTAATGAGTTCGCTCCGTGCACAATTGAGTTGGTGTGCGAGCGCGGTTGTTCGAGGCCTAGGCATTATTCGACATGTGTTGGTCGTCTTCGGGAACGGGTGTGGCTTCGACCGGGGCGGTGGCTGGTACTTGGATTATTGAAAGTGGCTCTTGGGCGGGTGCGGCGGGTGGGTCTTGGGCAGGTGGGGCGTTTTCCTTTCCTTTGTTGAGGAATCGGCGTTTAACTCTTTCAGGGCATGCTGGGTCGGAAGCCTTATAGATTCCTTTGCAGTTCAGACATCTGATTAGGGTGTGGGTGCATCTATATCCTCCCTGGCATTGATTGCATGGGTGGAAACTGGTGAGGTGATCTCCGGCGCAATGGCCGCATTTCCCATTGTTCTTACATTTCTCTTGGCGGTGGCCGTATTCGAAGCACTTTGCACACTGAGTATCCGGGAAGGTTGGGAGGAAGGCCTCGATATGGCAGCTTCGGTTGAAGAGAGATAGGAATTTAACTCCTAGTGTTTCCATTGTGATTTGTCCTGGGAGCGCGATAACCATCGATGAGTGGGTTTTCTCCATTCGAGTTTCTGCCCTGGATATCCAGCGGGGAACCTGGGCAAGTTGGAAGTTCTCCCCATAGTTGCTTCTGATTTCTGATGCTACTAACTGTCCCGCCTCAAAGCCCTCCCCGACCGTTGTGGGGATTCCATGGAGGAGGAACTTTGACCATTTGGAGTTAGCACGGATGATGGCGACCGGTACCTGTAGGGTGAGAAGGGCCTCCTCAATTTCTTTGGCATATTCCATTGCCTTTCTTGCAGGGGTAACGAATTTTGTTTCCAGGATGAAGTTGTCCTTGGGTGTTCTTCTTGCTGAGATAAAGTGGCAGGATTCGTCCTGAATCCTTGCATTGACTAGGGTCCTGATCTCGGAGGGATTGACGTCGGATGGGGCAGTGGTTTCAACAATGATTTCCCTGTTGATTTTGGTGTACTCTGGTTTGAAGAGCGGGTCCGCTTTTGGCTTTGCGGACTTCTTTTTCCTTTCGACAACCTGGAAGTTTCCTTGGGCAGGACCGGGTGCCGAGGCCACGGCGGCCCAGGTGCCTGCCTTCCATCCACGAGGAGGGCTTGTTGGGGGGGTGTGGGTGGGGGGGCCTGAGGAGCTGCCTGTGGTGCTGCTTGGGGAACTGTTTGTAGGACCGCTGGAGGGTGCATTCTCTGTCCTTGCGGTTGTTGTGGTTTTCGCTGTTGTTGCTGTTGTTGCTGTTGTTGCTGTTATTGCGGTTGCTGCGGTTGCTGCGGTTGTGGCTGTTTATTGAGGAGCGCGTGGATCGCCGAGTGCATATTCGTGATCATGCTTGTCTGCGCCTCAATTTGATGTCTCAGTGTGTCCACTGTTCTCCGGAGTGTAGTCGTTTGTTCTTCGAGGATTTCAATCCTGTCAGAGGGCGGGCAGATCTGGCTGGTGGCATGTCTGATGGCCCAGGTAATGTAGTTCAGGTCCGTCTGGGTGTGCGTGTCCTGGGGGACAATGCTCGGGTAGAGGTAGTCGACTCTCGGTTGGTAGGGGTCGTTGTAGTCAGATTCTGTTGCAAAGGTCGAGGAGAATTCCTGTTCCTGAGCTCCGGATGGGGTTGGGTCGGGATCCTGAGTGTTCCTGTTCTGCGAGGAGGCTGTCCCTTGCTGGGAAGACTGGGTAAAAAAGGACTGAAGCGAAGCTTGCTGCGACATGACTGAATGTCCAGTTCTTCTGGCGGCGTAGAGTGATGTTTCGGATAGGTTTCTTTTCCTTCCTTTCGGGAGGTCAAGGCTGGAGAATTCTTCGCTGGAAGCCAGTTTTCGTAGGTTTCTTTCGCTTGGAACAACAAAACGCGACCGTACGATCGGGGACGAAGTGGCTCAGCCTGGTATGGTATACCAGGGTAAACCGAAGGGAATAAAATAAAATAAAATGTTTTTAAAGCGAGGTTTGTGATCAGGGAGTTCTTTGCGAGCCTTAGCGAGCAAGTAGAATACAGAAGAAGAAGAAGAAGAAACTTATATTGCTTTGAAGTACAAGACTTATCGCACGCCGACCCAACCGCCTAAAACACAAATCAAACCAAACAAAAAGAAAGAAAGAAAAGAAAACAACAAACATAGGCGCAAACAAGCAAGAACAAGAACAAGAACAAGAACAAAACCAGCACAAGCAAGCACGAACAGTAACAAGGAAATTCCAGAACAATACTCGACCAGAAAAACCCAACGACAAGGAGAAATAACATGTCTCAGCGGACTCGAGCGCTGGACCCATCAAAATAGAACATAAAAACAAATTTAAGGAGTAAAAGGAAACTGCCCTTCCTGATCCCGTCTCTAATCATTTTCTTCCATCCCCTCTTCCAGGTCCGCCTCCGCCTCCGCCGACTCGTACCATTTCGAGAGTTGAGATTGTTTTGCAAATTGTAGGATGAGGTCCGTTCTCAGGTTTGTAAACATCCAGTTTTCCCAGGTCATCGCTCCGGGGATCTTCTCTATCAGGGGGGTGCGGATTCGAGCCCACACTGGGCATTCCATGAGTATGTGTTTCGCTGAGTTTTCCATACCACACTGGCATGGTTCGGGGTCTGTGTATACTGCGTGTTTGTCGATTCGGGTGGTTTGGCACCGGATTCGAAATACTTTTTTTGCTTCCGTAAGGGTGAGTTTCGCTATCTTAGGAGGGGGGCGGAATTCCCCCCGGTGGTGGTAGTTCGGTATTGATTGTGTGTTCCACTCTTCCAACAGGTGGTCGCGTAGTAGTTTATTTTGGTTCCACTTGTCTCTCGCATTTCCGGGGGTCTGGTATGGGAGTAGTAGGGAAGCTATTCGGTGTAGGCCTGTTCCTTTGATATTTGCTTCTTTGTAAGGGAGGAGCTCGATCAGGGATTCATTGTTGGGGTGGGTTGCCTCGGAGCAGAGTATTCTGGTTCCGTACTTTCTTGAGCGATATGTCAGGAGGTGTTCTAAGGGGGGTAGGCCTGCTTCTCGGAGGAGTTTAGCTCTTTTGGTCCATCGTGGTAGGCCGGTGATAATCCGGGCCGCTTCATTATAAAGTGGTTCGAGGGATCTTATAATGTGGTCTGCGCCAGTCCACCAAGCCTCGGATCCGTAGAGTAGGCTTGGGAGGAAGCCTTGTGTTATGATATGATGGATTGTTTTGACCGTTATGCCTGGCAAGCGGGCTGTGTATCGAATCTGGTGGAGGACTTTAAGGCCTTTTGCGATCGCTGCTTCGATGTGGGGCCGGAAGGAGAGGGTCGGATCTATCCAGACTCCTACATATTTCAGTCTTTCCTTGGGGTGTATATTGATATTGTTAACTTTGACCGGAAGTCGTGGTTGTTGTGTGGATGATGTGGTGGGCCGGAAGAAGGTCAGGTCGGATTTATCCGGGTCGTATTTAATTTGGAGTGGCTCAGCTTTTATTAGTCTCTCTCTCAATCGTTCCTCCATTCTCTTGATTGTGAAGCCTGGTGTTTTGGATATTTGTACCAGCGCGTCGTCATCGATGTAAGTACTGTCCATCTCTTTCGGGCTGCTTGTTGGGTCCAGGATTACTCCAGCGTAGATCATAAATAGCACCGGGGACATGGGGCTACCTTGCGGCACTCCAGAATCATAGGGCTGTGGCTCTTATAGCTCATGGTTGAATTGAAACTGTAGTTTTCTGCCGGTATTGAATTCCTTGCACCATTCTGTTAAGTAGGTAGGGAATTTTTGTTGTTGCATGATTTCCGCGAGGAGTAGGTGGTCAACGCAGTTAAATGCTCCTTGGATATCATTGGTTAGGATTGCTGGTCTGTCTCGCCGAGCGACTCCGGTACTGTTTTTCAGTAGTAGGTTTTGTTGTATTGGCGTTAAGGTTCTCAGCAGGGCGTCGATTGCCGAGATGGTTGGTCTTCCTCCAAATTGATTCGCTGAGAGTGTGCCTAGAATTTCTCCAGCGGTGCAGAGTCTTTGGGCCACTATCTTCTCCAGGATTTTGCTGAAACATTGTAGAAGGGAAATGGGCCGGTAGGCTTTTGCTTCGTGATAGTTTGCTTTACCGGGTTTCGGGATCGGGATACACTTAGCTATTTTCCATTCCGCTGGGTGTATGCCGTGCCGGAGCATGGCGGAGAACATGTCTTGGATTAGAGTTGTGTTTGCTTTCACTATTGCTTTAATAAAGGTATAAGGAATGCCATCCGGGCCGGTCGCCGAGTGCGCTGGACAGGAGTCGATTGCTTTATTAAGTTCTTCGGGGGTGACTATGTCGAAGGTGTTGCTAAGGTCAAAGGAAGGGGGTCTAATTTTTAGGGGGGGGTGGTCGGGGGACGTCCGTTTCGAGGGGAAAAGTTGGGCTCTTAGAGCTTGGCACTTCCCCGCAAACGTTTCTTCACCTTGTATGGTTGGTATGATTGTGTCTCTTCTTCTTCCTACGTTTAGGATTCTCCAGACTTCACTACCTTTCGCCTCGTTCATCGTCTTTTCCCGCTGGTCCGCTTTTGCTTTCCGGATCATGACTGTCCATTCTCTGCAAGCCTTCCGGTTTTCCTCCACGTGATTGGATTTCTTTGTGTTCCTCGCCTTCCTTTCTGCTGCATTTACCTTTGCCTTCATTTGTTTCATTTCATCTGACCACCAGGAGTTGGCTCTTACCCCCTCCTTCGAGAGCGGTGTTACTATGCTGACTGTTGACCTGACCAGTTCTAGAAAGAAATCAACAGTCTGTTCCGTAAGTTCCTTGGTTTCCCATGCCTCTGCAGGGATGGAAATGTTTGACATATGGTTTTCCAATAGCTTCCAGTCTGTTTGTCGCCACATTCGTCTTGGTACAAAAGGTGGTTTCTCCAAGTGTAAGTGAACGGAGGTTCTCCCATGGTCTGAGCCCGCTCCGTAGGGTTCAGTGCTCCATCGTAGGTTGTGATCGAGTATCGGGCCTTTTACAAATGTAAGGTCGATGGTTGTGGGCCTTTTCCCTCTGTCTCTGGGGAAATGCGTAAAGACGCCTGGTTCGTTCAGGAGGGACAGTTTCTGTCGGGTTATCCATCGTTTTACTCGTGCACCATTGACGCGGTCTGCTCGAATATTGTTTCTGTATTCATGTGAATTTACTCCGTACCACATTTGATGGTGGCAGTTGAAGTCTCCCATTACTAGACAATTATCAAGGGTTTGGATTGTACTTGCTATTTGAGCGAAGGGGCCACTTCGGCCTGGGGAGTATATGTTTAGGATTTGGGTTTTCTTGTTCTGGATTTCTACCGTAATCGATACTATGAAGTTATCATGTGTGTAGTGGTGTTTTGGTTTAAGGTTGGCATGTTTGCGGACATATGTTGCGCATTTCGTATTGGTATTGCTGGCTGTAAAAAGGTAAAAGAGATTTGATTCTGGTGGATATCCCTCTGTTGAGGTCCATGGTTCTTGTAATAATAGGAAATAAATACTAGAGTCTGTTTCCGCTTCTTCTACCGCCGCCTTGGTAATGAGTTCGCTCCGTGCACAATTGAGTTGGTGTGCGAGCGCGGTGGTTCGAGGCCTAAGCATTATTTGTCATGGGTTGATCATCTTCGGGAACGGGTGTGGCTCCGACTGGGGCGGTGGCTGGTACTTGAACTATTGGAAGCAGCTCTTGGACGGGTGCGGCCGGTGGATCTTGAGCGGGTGGGGCATTTTCCTTTCCTTTATTGAGGAATCGGCGTTTGGCTCTCTCGGGGCATGCTGGGTCGGAGGCCTTATGAGCTCCTTTACAGTTCAGGCATCTGATTGGAGTGTGGGTGCATCTATATCCTCCCTGGCATTGATTGCATGGGTGGAAACTGGTAAGATGATCTCCGGCGCAGTGGCCGCATTTCCCATTGTTCTTACATTTCTCTTGGCGGTGGCCGTACTCGAGGCACTTTGCACACTGAGTATCCGGGAAGGTTGGGAGGAAGGCCTCGATATGGCAGCTTCGGTTGAAGTGAGATAGGAATTTAACTCCTAGTGTTTCCATTGTAATTTGTCCTGGGAGCGCGATGACCATTGAGGAGTGTGTTTTCTCCATTCGAGTCTCTGCTCTGGAGATCCAGCGGGGAACCTGGGCAAGTTGAAAGTTCTCTCCATAATTGCTTCTGATCTCTGATGCTACCAATTGTCCCGCCTCGATTCCCTCCCCGACCGTTGTGGGAATTCCATGGAGGAGAAACTTTGACCATTTAGAGTTTGCGCGGATAACAGCGACCGGTACCTGTAGGGTGAGGAGGGCCTCCTCAATTTCTTTGGCATATTCCATTGCCTTTCTTGCAGGGGTAACGAATTTTGTTTCCAGGATGAAGTTGTCCTTGGGTGTTCTTCTCGCTGAGATGAAATGGCAGGACTCGTCTTGGATTCTTGCATTAACAAGGGTCCTGATCTCGGAGGGATTGACGTCGGATGGGGCAGTGGTTTCAACAATGATTTCCCTGTTGATTTTGGTGTACTCTGGTTTGAAGAGGGGGTCCGCTTTTGGCTTTGCGGACTTCTTTTTCCTTTCGACAACCTGGAAGTTTCCTTGGGCAGGACCGGGTGCCGAGGCCACGGCGGCCCAGGTGTCTGCCTTCCATCCACGGGGTGGGGCTTGTTGGGGGGGTGCAGGTGGGGGGGCCTGAGGGGCTGCCTGAGGCGCTGCTTGGGGAATTATTTGAGGGACCGCTGGAGGGGGCATTCTCTGTCCCTGCGGTTGTTGTCGCTGTTGTTGCTGTTGTTGCTGTTGTTGGTTTTGTTGTGGTTGTTGCGGTTGTTGCGGTTGTGGTTGTTTGTTGAGGAGAAGATGGATCGCCGAGTGCATATTGGTGATCATAGTTGTCTGCGCCTCGATTTGGTGCCTCAGTGTATCCACTGTTCTCCGGAGTGTGGTCGTTTGCTCTTCGAGGATTTCGATCTTGTCGGTGGGTGGGCAGATTCGGCTGGTGGCATGTCTAATGGCCCAGGTAATATAGTTCAGGTCCGTCTGGATGTGAGTGTCCTGGGGAACAACGCTTGGGTAGAGGTAGTCAATTCTCGGTTGGTATGGGTCGTTGTAGTCGGATACTGTTGCAAAGGTCGAGGAGAATTCTTGTTCCTGAGCTCCGGATGGGGTTGGATCGGGAACCGGAGTATTCCTGTTCTGCGGAGGGGCTGTCCCTTGCTGGGAAGACTGTGAAGACTGGGTGAAAAAGGACTGGAGCGAGGCTTGTTGCGACATAATTGAATGTCCAGTTCTTCTGGCGGCGTAGAGTGATGTTTCGGAAAGGTTTCTTTTCCTTCCCTTTGGGAGGTCAAGGCTGGAGAATTCTTCGCTAGAAGCCAGTTTTCTTGGTGTTTCTTTCGCTTGGAACAACAAAACGCGACCGTACGATCGGGGACGAAGTGGCTCAATCTGGTATGGTATACCAGGGTAAACCGAAAGGAATAAAAGTAAGAAGTTTTTGAAGCGAGGTTTGTTATCAGGGAGTTCTTTGCGAGCCTTAGCGAGCAAGTAGAATACAGAAGAAGAAGAAGAAGAAACTTATATTGCTTTGAAGTACAAGACTTATCGCACGCCGACCCAACCGCCTAGAACACAAAACAAACCGAACAAAAAGAAAGAAAGAAAAGAAAACAACAAACGTAAACGCAAACGAACAAGAACAAGAACAAAACAAGCACAAGCGAGCACAAACAGTAACAAGGACATTCCAGGACAATACTCGACCCGGGAAACCCAACGACAAGGAGAAATAACATATCTCAGCGGACTCGAGCGCTGGACCCATCAAAAACAGAACATAAAAACAAATTTAAAGAGTAAAAGGAAAACTGCCCTTCCTAATCCCGTCCCTAATCATTTTCTTCCATCCCCTCCTCCAGGTCCGCCTCCGCCTCCGCCGACTCGTACCATTTCGAGAGTTGAGATTGTTTTGCAAATTGTAGGATGAGGTCCGTTCTCAGGTTTGTAAACATCCAGTTTTCCCAGGTCATCGCTCCGGGGATCTTCTCTATCAGGGGGGTACGGATTCGAGCCCACGCTGGGCATTCCATGAGTATGTGTTTCGCTGAGTTTTCCATACCACACTGGCATGGTTCGGGGTCTGTGTATACTGCGTGTTTGTCGATTCGGGTGGTTTGGCACCGGATTCGAAATACTTTTTTTGCTTCCGTAAGGGTGAGTTTCGCTATCTTGGGAGGGGGGCGGAATTCCCCCCGGTGGTGGTAGTTCGGTATTGATTGTGTGTTCCATTCTTCCAACAGGTGGTCGCGTAGTAGTTTATTTTGGTTCCACTTATCTCTCGCATTTCCGGGAGTCTGATATGGGAGTAGTAGGGAAGCGATTCGGTGTAGGCCTGTTCCTTTGATATTTGCTTCTTTGTAAGGGAGGAGCTCGATCAGGGATTCATTGTTGGGGTGGGTTGCCTCGGAGCAGAGTATTCTGGTCCCGTACTTTCTTGAGCGATATGTCAGGAGGTATTCTAAGGGGGGTAGGCCTGCTTCCCGGAGGAGTTTAGCTCTTTTAGTCCATCGTGGTAGGCCGGTGATGATCCGGGCCGCTTCATTATATAGTGGTTCGAGGGATCTTATAATGTGGTCTGCGCTAGTCCACCAAGCCTCTGATCCGTAGAGTAGGCTTG